TTCCAATTAGTTCTATTTTTATTTTTGTTTGATAACTACAGAAATAGTGTTTGGAACAGCGTTTTAATACGCGTTTTATTTCGAATTACGAGCATCACAATTATCCATCTCAATTTTTCCGCCCTTTTTTTTTTATGAAACCCTTGTAACGTTGACAAGACGATTATATAAAAGTGCATTCTTCGATCCACAAATTGCTGGTAATATATCTTTTGCTTGTTAGCTATTCAACGTAACTTGCATGACATGAACCAATTTTTTTGAAAGAAATTGTCCATTATTTTTCCACAGCCGAGCTTTTAGCGCATAAAAATATTTTTCTCTTCTCGATAATAAATTCACGGTACAAGATCTTATTATCGGGATATGATCTTGAAGGAAACGTTGACACATTGTTAATAAAAAATGATCGTTTTCCTTCACGACGATAGAATAATTTTTTATAGCTTTCAAGAAATCATTGGATTATCTCTCCGCTATGATTAAAAAAAGAAGATGTAGCAAGACGGTACTTTAGCACTTTATCCCGAAGTCGTCGAACGAGTCGGTTTAAGTAGGATTCGCGGAGGACGCAACAGTTTGTTGGCTTTTCCCTTTGGTCCTTCTACTCTGGGTTTCCGCGCGCCTGCAATATTCACGTGTGTACGTATGTGTGGGTGTGCGCGAACCCGGAAACGGGTCGGTGGGTGGCGGATAGTGCGGGTATGGAAGCGGCACGAGTCTATCTTAGCTCGTGCTCCATTTAGCTGAAGTTTACACGATATAGCGTAAGTTAGTTCTCTTCTCTTTCGTTCTTCGTGTACTTATCACGATACGGTTCTTTCTTTTCGAAAAGATCCTGCTCTTCCTCCCCTTGCCTCTTTCTTCTGCCAAAGGAATCGCTCGAATGGTACAGAGACGCGGAGACAAGAGAAAAGCAATAACGAACATTTTCAATATAACGCGCAATAAACGATTCGTATATATTTCGGGTGAAAAAAAAAATAACTGCAATATAATAATATTTATAAAATTATTCCAACTATTTTCAATAAGCGATAATTTCAGTCAAAGCATTTTTTAGAAACTAAATATCGTTAAGACTCAGAAAAGTCAGATGGTTACAAGCTAAAAAAATGAACAGTCGAAGTCTTTTAAAAACCGGCTATTCAAATATTGAGTATGATGCAGCGTTTGAATAAAAGATAAATGAGATACAGAAAGTAATTCAAAATATAAAAGTGCAGAAAGTGTAATAAAATATTTATCAGACTTTTAGTTTATCTAATTGTTATTCTCGATTAAAGACAATAAAAAGCAAGAGGGATGAGGATTATAAATAAGATGTATGTTACGTTTTAATTTAATTTTATCTCTTGCTACTTTTCTAAAATTAAATACCTCGGGACATTATTTAATTAATGTAATTTTTCCTCGAGTACGGAACGTACCTATATACCCTACCTGCTGATTATGAAATAAAATTGGCTTTAATTAAATAACGCACCGTCAACCAAGTTTGAGGATAAAAATAAAAACGAGGCAATTGCGTCGCAGAATATATGTATGTGTGGTATACATATATACATGCAGCTATCGATGCACATATATAATTGCAATCATGTGAACACTAACGAGCGATTAATAGAATTTTCCAATCACTGATAGTATATAGAATTCAATATATTCTATTTAGCAGGAAATTTTTACAGAATTTCTGCTATAAAAAATTAAAGATTTTATTATATTTGGCATTTTTTATCAAATATTGCACTACAGCATTTTATTTCTAATATTATCATCTACAGTACATTTTATGTTTGATCAGAAATGACTTTTAGTAACTGCGTAATTATTTACGATTAAAAAGATATTCTCAAAAATGATACTTTTGAGAACTTTTATTATTTGCTCAATTCATAATACGATTTGATTTGAGAGGAAACAAATGCTCGATAAATGTTACAAGAAATCGACAAAGGGTAATAAATCCTTTAGCGATTATCGGCAATGCAATCGCAGTTATAGTAATCTAATAGTAAATAATGAGGGTTAATTACTGAATTCCAATATCAGTGACGCTCAGCAAGCATTATGCCAAAGCTAATTTTGAACAGGTGGTTGCCGTCCTGCACACGTTGTATTGGCGGTCATTATGCCAATGCATTGTACATGCGACACGGCGCAGACGCGCCGTATGTCGTATGCGGTATACGAGATTCCGATGCGTGGCTGTATTGTGAATCGTCATCGACCTGAATAGGAATTGATCCGACGATTGACATGTGTCATACCCTTATCTTATCTACTGCGTTTTGTGAATAATGAGATGCGCATAATCTATCCGCTTCTATCTCGCGATAAGTTATGTCGTATCCGATACTCAGCATGTCGCAAACGTTTCCAATTTTACTCGAATTCCGAATGTACCGCATTACCGAAATTTATCAAATATTTTACATAATTGGCGTTTTAATTTTCCAACCCGAACAATTCGAATGAGATGGGCGGAAATATTTTATTGACATTTAGTTCGAATTCTTGAAAATAAATGAAGTATAAGGTTTTATTAAATATCTTTTTGCGCTTCCGAAGCTTGTACGTTGAATGGCAGAAGATTCTCCGCCGTTGCTATTTCATATCGAATATATTTCTCTTGAAAGGTTTGGGTATACGGAGATCTCTGGTGTTCCGTGTGGCTAGCGGTCGACGTTTGGATGTGCACGGCGTCGATATTGAATTTATGCGCCATCAGTTTGGATAGGTACTTGGCTGTGACCAGGCCAGTCAGTTATCCTCAGGCAAGTACCACTCAATATTCGTGCAAAACGATTATCTTGGTGAGATCAGACACGCATTATGCACCGATCGATTTGATCGTCAAGTTTGATGTATTTATATTATGCATAATAAATCGACATATCACTCGAAATGTTTTGCGTAATACGAGCATTTGCAATAACAAAAGCTTATAGGGAAGAAATAAAATTGAAAAAAACTGCAAAGTTTAATAAAGATTTTGAAATTATCTGCATTAAATGTTTTGTACGCAATGATTGATTTCACTAGTTTCTCTTATTTCTGTAAAGAGACTGTAAGAAAAGAAAATAATGCGGTATTATTGCACATTTTTCTTTTTTACAATGTAAACTGATACACCGGATAAAAAATAATAAAATAAATAGCTCAAAGAGCAAAGATATAAGCTACCCAATATATCTATAATCGCGTAATCTCTTTATACAATTATCGCGTCCTTGTTGCGCAACGTATTTTTCAATAACTGTTTATTCTTTGTTCCAATAAATCCAGCTTATGTCGACGAAAAGAGCGAGACTGCTAGTAGCCACTGTTTGGGTTTTGAGCTTCCTCATCTGTTTTCCACCTCTGGTAGGCTGGAAGGACAAACGGGTACGTTAGTAACCAACGATTAATCCGCATTTGTGCGATCATGCCGTCATTTCGGTGTGACTTTCAATCGCTGTCTGATCGCCCCCGTACGCCACCCCCCATCCCCAGCCCGGATCGCTTTTCCGCGCCCGTTTAATCGCTTCCTCTTTGTTTTCGTTTAGTCGCATCCCACGCACAACGTGACGTTTCCTCCATACGGCCCGTCCAACACCACCACTATACTCATACCGGTGAAGCCGTGCCCATGGATCTGCGAGCTTACCAACGACGCCGGCTACGTCGTTTATAGGTAAGTCTTTCAGCCTCTAATAAAAAATATTCAATTATGACATGGAAAAATTATTTTGCATTAGACATGATAAGATAAATTAGTTCTTGCATATTATTTATTAAGTTATTGTGTTCGATAAAATAGACTGGCAGAATGTATTGAAAATATTCTTCTTGTGCTTTTTAATTGATAAAATGCCGTATAATTTAATCTACTTGTATATTAATTTATGAAGAAGAAAACTAATTTATTTTAACACACTGCGAGAACTTAAATCAGAATACTGAATTAAAAGTTTATATTTTCCACTTTTTCTTCATAGTTTTTATATTTAAGAATATTAAATATATATCTCTCTGAAGATACTGATATAATTGTATTGCATATATAATGCTTACTCGTTTATATCATAAGTTAAATCCGATTTATATGTCACATCAAGACTACATTATACCGATAATAGTTTATGAATTTTGAAAAAGACAAGTAAAAGTATAATAAGTCGATATATTTTCGTAAAATAGAAACATATTCAATTTTTAAGGATGGTCATCTTCCATATATTTGATCCCCAATCCAAAAATAAATAAGAGATAGATCGTATTTATTATCTCAACATTAGTTTTGAATATAAAGAGAAAAACGTTTTTATTTTGATCTGAAAAACAAAACGTCATCCATATCATTCAACTCGAAACGCCGCACAGGCTGTAGATTAGGTCGCGCCAGTAATAATTGTTTCTATTTCTGCGTCATTATCGTATTACACGTGTGTATCGGTCAAGACGATCACGTATATACGGTTTGTCGCCGATCAATAAGTTGATAAATCATTAATGCACTCGAGCGATGAGTCAAGATGCGTTTCGAGTGCCCGACCACCGGCTCCCGCTCGATCGAATCACCCTGCCAGTTATTAAAGCCAAAGTGCTGGAATTAATATTCGCGGTGATCTGATCTGCGTCGCACTGCACGCGCGAAGGCGCTCGATACGCCTTCACAAAACGGGAAACTGTGATTACCGGACGCGTGACGGGAAATCACACACGATCACCGCTGTGTTGCAGCGCCCTAGGCTCCTTCTATATACCGATGCTGGTGATGATGTTTTTTTATTGGCGGATCTATAACGCCGCGGTTTCCACGACGAGGGCCATTAATCAAGGTTTTCGGACAACAAAGCCCTCGAAAATGCTCGGCACCAGGTAAAACCCCGCGGCAGAACCGCAGCTTTTGCCAAGCTTCTATATACACGACCGGCGGAGAATTTATTTGTTCGCACAATCTTGTAATTGATTTTTCATCACATTTATTTGCATTCTCATGCGTTTGATGTGGATGTCGATCGTTTCACCGTTAGCTGTCTTTTTTGAGCATGCATATCTAATCAGAGGCTAGTTGTCATCGATACATCTCCCTTCAAAATGTATATAAGGCAAAGTTAGTCCCTCATCATCATCCCCCTAATGGCAGAAAGAGCCGGAAGTAAATTATCCTACATTCGAATATATTTTTTCGCATTTTCCACGTCTGCGTCATTGAATTTTCTTTCTGCTAGAAGAAAAAAAAAGTCCTTTTTACGCGCGAGCTTTGTTATGTCGCTGACAGATATAATGGAACGTCTACGTAGCAGCGCGACGCAATTCTTATTCTTATGCAGGTTCGACGAACAAAGACTGACCTTACGAATACATCGCGGTCGCGGTAGCGTCCACAATGGTAGCAACAACGGCAGCTCGCGGAGCCCTGACTCGAGCGGTCGCAATTCCGTCAAGCGGGAGAAGATCAAAATCTCGGTCTCCTATCCCAGCACCGAGACGCTCAACACCAAGTGCAACACCCTTGAGAGAACGCCGTCGAGGTGCTCGCAGATCTCGGTCCATTACAGCAACGGTCAGACGCAGACGCAGCTTTGTCCGACCTCGCGGAACACGCACCTTAAGGTGAATTAGATTCTCACAAGCTTTATTCGCAGAATTCCCCCGAGCGCGTAATTAACTGCCCGAGATATAGACACCTTTTTTCTCCCGATCGTTTTTTTATCTTCCAAGAATAATAAAGAGACTTTCCTCGCAAAACAGAATTACGATCGTGGGTGGGTATTTTAACGTACATATTTGTTTCGCGGCGTAAAAATAAATATCTCCGATGGCGCGAAAGATTTATGTTTTTTTATTGTCGCACAATCATACACGTGATCGCAGTTCGGCTGGGGGCGACTCGCGGCTCTCACTGTTTGAAAAATGAGAGCAGTGTCGGATGTTCACAAATTTCATGTTTCGTACATTTTGTAATCCGGACAGTTTTGAGAGCACACACAAACATACACCCACACTCACACATACACACTCGCGCTGTTTATTGACGATTAACTGTCGGCATTTTGCAAAACGAGACGTATCAAGGATCAGTTTTTCGTTCAATAAAGCCATGGCACTCGTTCGATCCGACGGGGCTATCGAACCGTATAAATACACTATTTTTCCTCTTTTTTCCCCTCGCTGTTTTGTTTTAACCGAGAACCCTCGAGCTTTTATTTGCCGTTTAAATCGCCGATCGTGATTATTCTCCCACATGTGAGGTTGTACGCGCGGATTGCAGACGAAAGTGGGATATGGACACGTACCCGTTTTGCTGAGAGCTTTTATGTCATCCCTCATCGTCGATATTGATAAACACGCACAGAGAAGAAATGCATTTTTCATTATTCTCATCATAAAAAACTGCAAAAAATATCGCGCTTTACTTACAAAAGCGATCTATAAATATTTGTTTTTATATATTCCTGAAGCGACATACATAAATATAAAATAAATCATCAAAATAAAACAGTAATAAAATCATTTATGGTTTGTATTTTAATATGAATAATTTTTTAAATTTTAATCACGATCAATTTTTAGCTTTCTGAAAAATTCATAAATTACGAAGTAGTCCGTTTTACTTTTCGACTTTGTCTGCAAAAAATCGCGAAACAGCTGAAACAAGTTTTTCAATCGGATATTAGGGCGATACTGATCGAAGTGCGCGCCTTTGGATGACAGTAACTGATGCTGGTCGTAATCGTTATGAAAGAACGGCTGTTTTACAGCGTCCGTAAATCCTGCACGAAAGTGAATTCATGTTTTATTGGCGCGTTCACTGTGTGTACCGGAGTCGTAAAGACCGACTTATTAAATCCTCTTTCAGGTCGGCGGTGTCAATAGGGTCGGCAGCAGCAAGAGACCGAGCAGGCGGAACAGCTGCGAAAGTCAGGTGACCGGCGATGAGCTGTCGCTGCGCGAGATGACGACAAGCAGCGAGGAGAAACCGCGGGTGATGAAGTTGGGCAAGAGAAACATAAAGAACCAAGTGCGTTTTGTATCGATCCGTTCGAGCTTTCACTATTCTAGCCATGCGTTAAATACTTTTTTTTTTTAATATTTTAAAAACGAACGAGAAATATTAAATGTATTAATAGTTGCGAGTTTGCAAACGTACAATTTGATGAGAATGTTTCAAACTGATTTTTATTTCAACCAACTGTGTTGATATCGGCGTTGAATTGCAGAGCTTTAATAATATACGCGTATGCATTGATTGAAATTTTTTTTAACAAGATAAAAAATACGAAAAATATTATTAGTGCGTGGCGACGATGTGTGAAACAAAGTTATGCGCAGGTGAAGAGATTTCGCATGGAGACCAAAGCGGCGAAGACTCTGGGCATCATCGTCGGCGGCTTCATCCTGTGCTGGCTGCCGTTTTTCACCATGTACATCGTGCGCGCGTTCTGCCCGAATCGAATCCATCCAACCATCTTCAGCGTGCTATTTTGGCTAGGATATTGTAATTCCGCGATAAACCCCTGTATCTATGCTCTCTTCAGCAAGGACTTCCGATTCGCTTTCAAGAAGATCATCTGCTGCAAGTGTTCGTGCATGCGACGCCCCGACACTCTACGACGCGGCAGCGACGGCAGCCAGTTGGCAATGAGGTCAGTGTTACGATTTTGTATTACAAAATTGAACAATGTTGCGCGCCGCGATTTATTTTACACGGTCGCATTTTTGCGTCATGTAAAAACAGCAATGAGCCAATGTTACAACTTGTTATGCAAATGATGTACTTTGCGATTTATTTTTATTTCACGTTCACGTTTTTTTGCATCGTAAAAAAAAAGCGTTAAAAATCAACGTTTATTCGCTAGATTTAAAATTTATTTTTTTAAAAACTCTGTCATAATTTACACCGTATCTGATTATCGTCCGCATCTATTGATCTTTTATGCGAACAACTTTTTTCATATAACCGCATAAAAGGAAATCCTGAAATTTAATCATATTTTATGTGTCATAAACATGCAGTTGATATATATATATATATATATATGAAAATATCAAGTTCCTGTTTTTTTATTTGATGATGTACCTTCGCGAACAATTTTCCGCCGATGACACATAAAATACGCTCAATCAACATTCTGCGGATGTAAAAGAGCCAATTTCCAGCGGAATCGAGTTGTCGAAAATAGTTTTCCATAAATTTCCTAAATCCCGAGTTTGTAATCCAATTAGTCGAGGAAACGATGTCATCTCTTTTCACAAGGAACCCGCGGACCCACACACTTTCAATGGTTCACGGGAACGGTACTGTGTGTGTGCCCCGCAGGAACGAGCGAAGTCCAAGCTACACGATCCGCATGGGATCCGCTCAGCAAGGGATCTCGATCGACGACTCGGATCCGGATCCGTCATCGGAGCCGACGCACTCGCAGAGCGAGTCCAGATGATTGTAGCGGCGCGTCCGAGCTGGCGCGCAACGCGTCACCTTCAATCGACGATCCTCCAAAGCGAGGATATGCTCCTTTTGATGATGGCAGTGCTTCGGAACGTGCTCAGCACGTCGGCTTGCGCGTCGCGTCACGACGACGAGTTGCAACACTCGACGCTCGCTATGCCAACGTAAATTCCGTTATGCCATTCTGCCAGACTGACGTCGCGTCAGCGTTTCGCGCTTGTAAATTACTCCTCCGACAAAGCCGGAAACAGCCGGGCTCTATCTCCGAACGTCGTGAAAACGCAAAATCGCTAGACAAGCAAGTCGAGCGGCAAGCCGAGTGGCTAAGCAAGTAGCGAACGACCTGTTTAGCTTCCGTGATGTCTTTTATCGATGATGGGGAAGTTTGTCTAGCTATCGATAACATGTAATGTCGCTACAACGAGTTTACGCGAGGTCAACGGGTAGGCAAGCCAAGTAGTTTGCCGAGCAAATAATTTGCCACTTGACTTGGCTTTTCCGAATTGCGCAAACTTGCTGATAACGTTTTCGTATAACATGTTTACATGAAATCAGCGGAGACGCGAGTTCGTAACTGTTCTTCCCGCGTTTCTATCAGCCATCGTCGAAGAAACGTAAATGAGCGATTTGTCGCTCGACTTGCCTTTGCGCCGCGATTGCGATGAGATCGATAGAAAATCGGAGAGAAAACTCTGTGGCTCCACGCGAAAATTGGATTTTTAGTGCGATACACACGAAACGCGTTGGAGCATTTCACCTGCGATTTCTGGAAAAATCCAGAGAAAAAAAAAAGAGGAAACGAACGATCGACTCCCACACGCGGATTTCGTCGCGCGCATCATTTCGCGAGAGCGTCGCGGCGCTTCGCTTCGATTTGTACTTTCGGCTACGTTAAGAGCTTAAAACGATTTGTCTTTCTTAAGTAATCACCTTCTTGTGACCACCGTCCGGTGAATATAGCAAGCCATCGTACACACTTAATGTTACATGTATCCCGCGCGGATCGCCAGACAGTAATCAGTCGTTTTATTCGGAGCGAGAAACAAGAATCCGAATAATGTATTCAATCGATGTGCCTTCTCTTTTCATTGTATAACAAGTCACACTACTTTCACGACGAGAGATTGTTATTATTTTCTTTTTCTCTTTCGTACAAAGCCATTCGAGAAAAATATTTATTTGAATTCAGAACGATTCATAACCGAATCACGCGTTCATACAGCTTTCGATCTCCACGTTCTTTACGATTTCAAATCGAAGATTGATTGACTGATTACTCTTGGTCGTTCGCGTCAAGAACTTTGCATATACGTATTGCGCAATTGCATTCGTTCTACGTCGCTAATAAGATCGGTACTGAAATTGCGAGAGGTGTGAGGACGGGACGAAGAGAAAAGGAAACTTGGACGATTATTCGCGATCGCAAGTATGCACCTTCGAGAGAGAACGGCGCATTCGAGAGACGCGAACATAACGAGCGACACAGACCTCCTATGTACATATCGATATCTCTATGTGTACGCAATAACACGCTAAGTATGTCGTTATCTTCTATATAAACCGATGTTCGCGCGCTCGTATAAATCGGCGTTTCTCCCGCCCCCTCGTCCCTTTCCCGTCCCAGCCTCCCTCATCCTCCTTTTTTCCGTATTCGAGCGATTTTTCCGGGACACGGCCGGAAAATGACGGCATCATCGATGCTGTTGATTTCTACGTTTTTTTTACATAATGTTGCATGCGATTGTATAAATAAACATTGCATTACATCGTTGTTATCGCCGCGCGTGTGATACATGCGTATTGCGTTGCCGTGCGGATATATCGTTAAACGAAACGCTACATACGGCGCTGGCGCAAAAGTTCCGGCGTCTCATCTTCGCAGAATTTTCCGATCTACCTCCCCCCCCCCCCTTTCCCCCTAGATATCGCTGTTTTAGCAATGTAACTGTATAATTCGGGGGCGGCGAGATAGCCGATCGACTTCAATGCGTGATTCGTGTATTATGTGATATATCGTATAAATACGTAAGAAACGGATGAAAATAAATATGTGAATACGCATATAAGATGTCCCGTCGCCTCGCATAACCCATCCCACAAGTCTGCGACACTTGCGAATTCAACGGCGAACGTCACTTCGGACTTCTAAGGTACGTATAAAAAAAATTTGCCATCGCACTATTTTTCTCTTTAAACATAATTGAATTTAAATACTAACGAACTGATTGAATTTAAATACTAAGCTTGAAATACATGAAATTTTTATTTCATGTATTTCAAGCTTATTCTCAGTTATAAAAAAACCGCAGCTTTTGAGAGACTCAGAGTATGCGTGAAAATTTATTTACCTAGATTTTTCAATCGAATTTTGTTGGTAAATATTACTTAAATTCAATTACAAATGATTAAAAATCTAAGCTAGTCACAATTGTGAATATTTCTACAGTTTTTTATTAATATTATTTTATTTTGTGTTATCATGTTTCGATTTAGAGTCTACTTTGTTGAGATTCTATTCCGTACAATTCGATTTGAACCTCCTCAATGCTCTTGCCTTTCGTCTCCGGCACCATGGTGGAGATGAACACAGTGCCGACCAAGCCTATCAGGCCAAATGTGGCGAACGACGAGGAGATTCCCATGAGATCCACCATATCCTGGAAGCATTTTGTCACCAAAAATGCTAGCGTCCAATTGCACGTCGCGGTAGCGGCGCTCGCCGCGCTCTTGATGTTGTTGGTGAAGAGCTCGCCTACCATCAGCCACGGTATCGGACCAAAGCCGATGCTAAAAATTATAATAAATATCGCAAAAGAGAGCAGAGGGATCCAGGAAACGCTGGTGAGATCGTGCGAGTTCTGAAATAACAAAAGATTCCGAAAATTATAATTTAATGGAGAAATTTTGCTGTACAAATATTAAATTACAAAATGATATGCAGCCAGATTTTCATACGAATAATTATAATAATTTTTGATTAAACATTTAAATACAAATTTATAATTAATTTTTCTCATTAATATTTAATTATTTTAATGAATTTTACCTGAAAATGAAAATATCCCGATAATGTGAACATACAAGCGGACATCACCGACCCACTAATGAATAATAGCAGCTTTCTGCCGGTGCGCTCAATCATAACAGTTGAGAAATAGGTGGCGATTACTTGCACGAGGCCGACGATCACGGACGACATGGTCGAGCTCAGAGTTGACCCCGCATCGTCGAAAATCTTTTTCGCGTAAAATATGAGAGTGTTTACACCGGAAAGCTGTTGGAAAACCATTAAACCTGGAACGTATCGCGAAAAACAAAGCATTAACATATAATTCTATAAAATTAAATACAAATTAAAATTTAATAATTTAATAAAATATTAATAATAATAAAATAATGATTTACTCTCATAAAATTATTCTATATTTTCGAATTAATGAATTATTAAATCGGTTAAAATTAACAATTTACCGAGCGTAATGCAGATTGCTTTCCGATAATTTTTCAAATCCAAAATACTGGCTTTGGCTTCTTGCATTTCCGAAGCCTGGAGCTCGAGTCCGGTCAGTTCCGTCTCGATACGATAGTGAGCCCCTCTGTAGTATTTCAGCACGTCGTTTGCGTCATTCTTCCGACCTTGCATGACCAGCCATGCCGGTGATTCCGGTATGAACGGAAAGGAGATCAAAAGCAAAGCGGGCGCCACGGAACACAATATCGCGATGACGTGCAAGCTATTGGTGAAGGCTGCAAACATTGTGCCATGCTTATCATTTCAGAAAAGTTACACTGTACCCTAGAAAACTTCTCTTTTAACATTGTATTTATCATTGCAAACATCGTGAAATCATGTGCAGCGAAAATCAAGACTATCTTATGCAATTTTTTTATCAACATATTTCTTCATTCTTTACGTAATTATATGTTTATTATATGTTACGTAGATATATGTTTGATAAATGCGAGCAAAGTTTAGATAAATAGTTTTGTTCAAAAATCGTACGGTAAATAGAAAATCTGAAAGATAATCATTTAATTTATAAATTTTTGTAATTATTGATTAATAATTATTATACTAGCTTTGTTAATATTGCAGTAGCAGATTACCTATGTAGAAAGACAACACAGTATATATTTATCTTGAATCTAAATCATACTACATACTTTTAATTTTATTTTTAGATGTTGTCGCGCTGCGGGATTACTTAATTTTGCTTTCGTAAAAATGCGACATTTTACCTGTGGCATATGCGAAGAGGATTCCGGCGGTGATCTGCAACTGGAAAATGGTGCCAAGTAAGCCCCTGATGCTCTGCTCGGCGATCTCGGAAGTGAACATGGGAACAACGACGGATGCTGCACCGCATGCTGCCCCCGCGACAAACCGAGCCAGAAAAACCCTTGCGATGGAAAAACTCGATTACGTAACTTAAGTAGAAAATCAATGAAACCGCACAGTAAAATCGCTCTTGCTGGAGCTGGAAACGCAGCCAATACGATTGATGGATAAAATGTCTGCGACGGGCAGTAGACTTCCGAATTCGAAAAGCTAATTATTTGGGGTGAGTAATTTTTTTCATTTATTTCGAATAAATAATTTTCATTATCGATTGAACCGCTGCGCAAATTAATAATAAAGCGAAAGATAAAAATAAGATTTGAACGTGCACTAATGTTTTTATATATAACACGTTTATCATGATATTTGGATTTTTCCCTTCTACTTACAAAAATATCAGAATTTATAACAACAAATATTTTATAAAATTATTTTTAGTCCGAAGAGCTTAGATTTCAATCCGAAAAACTTAGGTTTTAATTGTTATTGATATGTAGATAAATTGTGCTATTTTGCAAATCGCAAACGAAACCCTTATCGAAGAAAGAGTCTGAGGTGAACTCACCATATCTTACTCTGCGCAAATGCGATGATGTACCAGCAGAAAAATAAGGGCACGGTCGTCGCCCAAATCGCTTTCTTCCGACCGAACTTATCCGCCAATATTCCCGCCGGCACGGTAATCGGGATGGCGCCGAGGGGGACCAACGAGGAAATCCAAGAACCCTCCTGGTCGCTGACAGAGAATGTGCCGTTTTTGTTGTAAAGCGGCAAAGCGGAGGACGTCCATGATAAATACGTGCCAATCGAAAACGCGGCGAGCGTCGCTGAGGAATAACAATAATGTCAGAGACATTTTATCTCAGGAATGTGTCTTGAGAAATATTCTATTTGATCTGTCACCAGGACATATATTTTATCTTCGAAAATACTCTGTCTTGAGAATTCTTCCGCTTCGCGCGACTCTTGATATTCTCCGCTTGGATCCCACGGGCGTACCGCAATGGAATCGCGTAAAGTTAAGTTACATAGTCGGGAAGTGTCTATCGAGAGAACTCGTTTTAACTACGGTACGAACTTGCGATTAAATTGAGACGCTCGAGGATTAATGTGACAATCGCGTGTAAAAGTTCGGGCTTTTGAAAAAGCTATATTTAAATTTTTCCAATGTCATTAAGATAAAAGTAAATTTGCATACTTATTCCTCTCTTGCAGTCTAAAAATCTTCATGTTTTTAACGTACGCAATTCACCAGTTTCGATAGCATCATCGCGGAACATTATTGAATATTCATATGTAAATGCGCTGCTGCATTTCAACACCGCGCAAGTTCGCGAGAATTAAGCACAAAACTCACCCACGAGCACGCCCACGTACTGCGTATATTTCGAGGTCGGTTGCGCGCACGACGATCCTTCGTCGTTCTGTGTAATTAAAGCCATTGTGCATTCACATAAACTGCGCGACCACTTTAACTACTTAAAATACTTCGCCAAAAAAAAAAGGAAAAAAAAATAATAATTGTCGCAATCGTTACTCGCGAGAAGGTTCAAGTAACGTTGAACTTAAAAACATTGTGTACCGTCGAACGTCGCGGACTCTATTCAGTTTCAATCAACATTTATCCACAACGCGACCTCCTTATCATTATGCTGACGATTATGTGCTGTAACCCCGACGCTTACGTAATGACCTATCCCGTTCTATAGTACTAGAAAATTATCACAATCCCGCCTCCGAATCTCGCACGTCTCAAACTAGCAATATAATTGCGCGCGGATAAAGTTCATCTGCAACCATTCAGATTGCATTTACATCGCTTTGGATATAGCGTTTCACGCGTCGCATTTAACACAGCTGCTGCTCCTTTCACAATACGCTCAGTGTAGCCGAAATATACAAGATGCGTTCTGTGAATACGAATATATCGTTCAATTCTTTTGAGAATAAAAATGTTGAAAAATTTGATATTTCACTTTGAAATATGAGCAAATCGTACTTTAACAAAAATAATTTTAATAAATCCGTAAAACAATCCATTAGGTCATCTGAATATTTTAAATTAAAAGATACGTGAAAATAAAATATAAAAAAATTTACAAAATTAATAATTAAGTATTATTTGAAATTGTTGGGTTTTTAATAAAATTGAAAACGTTTTAATATATTATTTATATTAAGTCACGAGTATATATAAATCTGCAAAATTATGTGTTATTATTTTATTAAAAACCGTTAAATAGAAATAAATGAAAAGACGGATAAATATAAAAAGGGAATGATAGAGGTTGCAGTTTTTTATTCACGAAATATAATCAATAAATGCAAAGAGAGACTCTACTAACAATTTCAAAGTATGGCATTACTATGCGCTAATGATGCTAAAGATAATGATGAAGGTAGAATGTCTACGGTATTATCAAATAATTTACCATATGATGATCACGGTCGCAAAGCTTAACATTATAAACAAATAAAATTAATCTTAAAAGGACGCTCGAATACGAATCAAGTCCGTTCCTCTGCATTTCCGCGAGTATTATTTGAACAAACTCGAGAAGCATTCGCGAAATATTTCCTCGAAATCCCGACACCGGTATTTACTGAACGAGAAAACGCATTAAATAAATATACGAACCACATAAATTTAATATATTCCTTCATTTTTCATACTCTGATTCAAATGAATTTCTCAACATACTCGAACTTTACGAAAATATATATCATTTTTTTGTTCTCTCTTTTAATTTGCAGAAGTCCAGAATGCACTTCAAAATGCACTTTGTCTATTTTCGCGCGAAATTTCGCGAGATGAAATTCAGCGTTTGATTTATCCAAAATTTTGACAAAAATCATGGATCAACATTGCGTTTTGATAGACAAAAACGCTTTCACGTCTCACGGGACATTTTCTACGGCTTCATCGGTATCATCATTTCGCTTCGGGCAGATTAGTTGCCAGGACCCTGAAGCCATTCTGATCAGCGATGTAGTGCACCTGCTGAAGAATCCCATTGGCGTCGATGTAACTGTAGGCGCCCCTAGTGGTGCCATCGAGCGACCTAGATTCGGTTTTGGCACTGGAATCGCCGGTGTAACTGTAATCATATTGGCCCAGAGAGTCCTGGGTGTGATGTAACGAACTGTGAAGAAATCTGTAAGGTAGCACGGAAACTACATAAGGCGCGGGCATGGCCATCGGTCTTTGAATGCTGCTGGCAAGCGGCACCAACTGCAAGGTATTCTGATTGGACGCTTGTTCGTCGTCCTTGAGAAGAATGTTCTCCCTCAATGATGATGAAATGGGTAATGACGAAGTGATGGCAGTGGTGGAGCCAGTGGGACTTGCAGGCGATACTTTCGAAAGACTCGGATCCGGCTTAGGAACATCAATTCCCTCTGCCTCCGATCTTGACAGTAAGAACGGATTCTTGGTGTCCTGAAAGAAATCAGGTTAGATTTGTTACATTCTTATGTAGCATTGAGATGTTCGAAATTTCAACTTTCGTAAATATCGTTCTTCAAATTGATTCTTAATCTCATTGCAAAATACTTTGCAAGTTTTATCGAATCATGTTTTTAATGACCAATCGTGAACCTCGTATCGTTATAAAATAATACAAAAACAATGGTTTATATTTTATTATTTTATTTTGTGTTTGTAAAATATAGGAATTTTATATTATTGATCGCTAAACTTTAATAGGGTCAAATAATTAAATTTCAATTTAATAGTTTTTTGTATAAACTGGATATAGTAATGCCACGAATTTCCATTTGAACTTTCCAAGAACGCGGATCGCTTTTTTATTGCCACGTTCCTTTTATCCAGGCAAACTTCAATTGAAATATCCGGGAAACTATAACTCACCTCTGTTTCCCGCGTGTTCAAATTCAGGTCGGCTTTGCTGTTTCCCTCTTGCTGAACTTGAGCGAAACTGAAATACGATGGCAGGATTTTGTACGACAAGAGATTCTTATCCTGCCAATTAGCCTTTCGCAATTCTGAGAGATGATTAGTCTTCGCCGCGGCTACTTCCGGCGTGTCTTGCAATGTTTGCAGGTCATTTTTCGGAGGTTGCGGCATATTACTCGCTCTGACTCTAAATCCATTTTTATCGTCCGCCGTGTACGAAACCGTTTGCAAAATTCCGTTTGCATCAATATAGGAATATCCTGGGGGCAAATAGAGATAATGGCTTTCGTCAAACAATGTTGTATGTTTGAGGAATAATAATTACAATTTACATTATTGTATTTGTCACTAATACATAATAATAAATAGTTATGAATAATATATATTATTTACAAGAATTAATCGACTGCCAATTATTAATTAATATAGAAAATCGTATCAATTAGATGAACTTTGCTTTCGTGATTACGTTCGTGGTCGTCACGCACAATTTCACGCATGTTATATTACGCGCCGTGAGTCATCACATTGCAATCGAGAAACATGCAAACGTGCAACCGCGCATTGTCATCCGAGAAAATTTGCAGGGATGAGCATGCGGCGTATGGGCGTCTTTCTTGCGTCACGCCGGCGAGCATTAGCGAGAGATTCACGTACGCACGTAGGCTGGCAATGCACCTCTTGTAACACATTTCGCAAAAAGAATGCATTCCATTTATGCGCTTGCATGACATGCGCGTTAGATCACGAAAGCGAATCGCGACAAGCCACTACAATAGCCGCAAATGAATTTTGCTTCGTTCTTTACACAAGGCTGTTCAAAGGAAATTTTGTTGAAATGCGCGAAACTTGGAACTCACCACCCTGCGTTACGCCGTTCAAGGTGGATTCCGCTTTGGCATGATGCGGCCCCGTGAAAGAATACTGATAAGACCCCGATCCGTCCTGCATGTGATACTGCCTCAACGGCGAAAGGGCTGGTATCGGACTCAGCCAGACATTGGCGATTGGCAAAGCAATAGATTGTCCGATGACGAGACCGCACAAAATCGTCTGTAGACAGAGATAACAAACGTTAATCTCTTAAATTATTATCCGGATATAAAAAATAAATATACAGTTTTGGTCGAAAATATAACAGGTTCTCGATAAATTGCTTTCAGCGAAATTAGTCGGTGCTTAAAAATCTGGTAAAATTTGTCATATATATAAATGCTGCAAAATACATACATGTGCATTTTTACGAAATTACATAATAATAATTAAATTGAAATTTTACAAAAACATCGAATGTCTATATTTTATATTAATTAAAATTCCGCATTAAAAATTTACAAATATTTATTAACAGTAGCTGCAGGTTTTGATTTAGAAACACTAATTAATTTCATTTACATTTATATCACAGAAATTATCAAAGGATCTGTAGAACTCTGAGCAAGGCTGTAGTACGCAATAAAGTTTATTAAGACGTTTATTCTAAACAGGGATGTTTCTGCTTTAAGCTTTTATCGCATTTTGCAAATAAAGTATGGGTTGCCGCAAAGCAATTACGTTTATTACTCAATTAATGAAATTGCGTTGCATCAATTGTAACAGTTGCGCCGACATTAGGGTGCGACTATCATTACACGGAGTGCGTAATTTTCTACATAAAATCGCGATTGGAGAGACAACATACATAAGATTACTATCAACTGCGACGATTTGCGAGCGCGAGAGAAGATAGCATCGCGGCGCAAGTGACATAACTTTTATCGATCGCGGAAATCCAATTCGATTACACGGTCACGTCTTTCCGCTCGACTACAACTGAGCAGCATTTATTATGAATATTTTTTCCGCGGAACGAGGCGGTATTCCTCGAACTGCAAATGGCGAATGCAGGACTTCGATCGCCACGCGCGAGCAACCGCAACCATCTCGCAGTTCGGCGAAATCAATAGCTATTATCGTGAAAGAGAAACGATGAATTCACCGCTCGTATTATACTAACACTGGTGCAACCGACAAGAGTTATTGACATTAATATAGCTCTCCCGTGAAATATGCTCGCGTAATTAAACAACGTAAAATCAATACAGTCGCAAAATGTGTGTCGAGTATCTTTCCTTTCGGAAGCTCCTTGCCGCGGTAAATTGAATTACAAAACTTTAATTTCACCTCAGTCCTCGTTTATCAAATAAGGGTAAAATGCCAAAAGTTTATTCGTGCACATCGCGAAGGGATATAATGAAATTAAATTAGAATCCACAAATATGATAAGCCCCCTTGAGATTAGCTCCAAATTGATCAAGGAATTACGGGCATTATTCGTACAAGGAACTTTGGCAACTCCAACATACATATATCTGCGTCAAATACAAACTTGTACTTGTCGTCATTAATTAACTTAAAATTCAATTAAATTCACTCACGAGTATCATGATCGTCTTGAGTAGAATCGCACCGCTGATGAACTGTCGATCGATCGTGAGTAGTGGAACCGGCCTCTCGATCACGACTTTCTCCACTCGTCTAGGATAATCCCGGTGAGAGCCGCGTAACGGATGTGAGAGTGCAAGCTCTCAGTCGCATCCTCTTATATAGCATCCCGTGGATCTGCCTCGCGCGCTTACGGTGGTTCCCCACCCTAGCATCGCGTGCGTCCGGGCCCTAGCGGGGCCCTACGGGGCACGGACGCGCTCTCGCGCGCCCTAAGAGCCGGGTCCACGGTCGCAAATCACCCCGAGTTCGATTTCCATGCCGATAAATCAATGTTTATTGGCCTCGGATACAAGCCGTCGATCTTCCGCGCGTTCTGGATGCCAGCGCGAGGATCCGCCGCGCGAGAAAGGATACGCGTTTTTCGCGCGGCGGATCTTTCCTTTCGTGCGTACCCTGCGTAATAAGAACGCCGAGCACAGCATGATCGTAACAATAACGAGAGATAATTCACGCTGGCCGGATTGAAAGCTCGCCCACGCGGCGGGTACCAGCTGAATTTCAGATGTTGACTTCATTTCAATTAAGTGGATATATGTAAATTATTTTATAACCGCGCAAATTTGATTTTAATTTATGTCCAAACCACTTTTTATTTATAAATTCTGTGAAAAATTTCTTATCAACTTTCGTGCAGCAGAAATATCGAGTGGGATAAAAATATTTTGAACTAATAAAGTTTATGTATTTCGATATTTTTAAATTATTTTAACACTGCTTTTGTATTATAAATCGTAAAAAGAATTGGTTTAAAAGTTTTCAATTTTCAACATTATTTAGTTCAACATTAACATTTCACTGAAATCACTTGAGTATTGTTGATGGTGCCTCAGATCCGCTTCACGCTTGTTAATAATATCTCATTACAATTGTAAAGACGCTCGCACATAATTTATGTTGATCATTGTACGCGTAATCTCCATTACTGCTAAACTCGCATTATTGCTGATTGCTCAGCATTCACTTACAGTGATCCGTAATAAGCTACGCCCCGTCACGTCACAAAACGCCAAAACGACAAACACGCGTGTGATTACGAGCTACAAAGTGACATTGGAGGGCAGATAATGGACGGAAACGATGGATCGGTATCGCGCATACCAATGCAAATACGGCTATCGCGCAATGTTGCGAAGCACTTAAACGGAGCAGAGATGAATCTCTCTCTCGAGAGACAAGTAGATCGGCATCGTATCTCCCATCGAATCATGATATTCAGATTTAACAATAAGTGATTTGCCCCGAAAGTGTCATGATAATGGATCAATCGATCGATGGAGAGCAAAATCGATGATATTCGCGTTTTTCGAGAAATTAATTTGGCTTGAAAAGAACTTATTGAATAACGTAATTTAATAAGCACCGATGTATCGACTTGTTAAACTATATTTCATCTTTTTATTAATACCAAATATGTTACATATACCAGGAGGCTTCGGTAATTATAAGAGCCGTTCAGATTTTTAAATTCCGCTTCTTAATTTAAACCGTCACGAAGAAAATAAAACAGCCTCTAGCGACATAGAGCAAGATTAAACGTTATTTTAATCTCTTGATTAAAACAACGTTCGCCGGTGCGATTCCCGACAAAAATCAGCGGCCGCGCGATCCTCGACAAATAGAAACGAACGCAAATGCAATTAACGGGCGGCGAAAATGAAACGATAGCGGCGAGAGAGAGGTGGCATCTCTTTAGGGAAGGTCCAGGACGCGGCCGCAGGGCCTCCTTGGCCTCTATCTCTCTCTCTCTTTCTCTTTCTTTCTTTCTCTCTTCTTGCTTTGCCGATCGCATAAATAATATCCGCCGCGAATTTACGGCCGGCTCGCTTAATCCGACGATGTAAAGGAACGATATGAGCGTAACGAGTTCATCAATTCCGACGGAATTACTCACGTGCTCGCTCGCTCGCGCAACAAGTCGCCGCCGATGAGAGGATTCTTTCGCTGGCGACGCATACGAGCTCGTGGGCGGTGTGTTGCGTTGGTTTTGACATTGGCACTAAACGCTCCTTCTCCTTCGCCGTCTCTCTCTCATACCGCATTAAATGGCACTCGTAGAGCCGACTATCTAACCGCATATATGCGGCACCGATGTGCTATGCGCGGAGAATGCAGCGAGAAGACACCGCGTTCGCCGGTGATCTTAAATCAACTCCCCCCGCGGAGCGAAAACAATGGTAACTATCAATTCTCTCGGTATGCGAAAAGAGAGAGAGAGAGAGAGGAGGAGATTCAATATCGATGCAATTTAATTTTAAAACTTACATGTAACTTCATGAAGTTGTATAGTTTCGAATTTTTATATTTTTATTATTATAATTTTCATATCCATTTACGAATTTCTTGTCGTGGTTTCACTACCAATTACATACTTTCTAATTACAAATTATAAATTATTAATGCAAATACTTCAATAATTCCCTTTTTTTTAAATATATCTCTTTAAATTCTTCGTAAATTTTTAAAATTACTAATACAAGAAATTACAAATATAAAATTATAAATAACTGCCATTAGATTGAAAAGAACCAGAAATTAGACCAAAACATTTTTATAATTTTATTCTGTATTGATTTGTGATATATTTCTCTCTCTCTCTCTCTTTTTCTTTTTTGTACCTCGACTTACTTGGTTTTCACAGCTTTTTTTGTTGTTTTTTTTATAAATAAAATTTTCTGATATTTTAAAACGCATTAAATTATAATGAGCAATTATTCGTTTTTATTTTTCTTCTATAACTACTCGAACTATTTAAAAACAAGAGCAATATCAAACTCTCTGATAATTTTGAAGTTTCTATCTTCAAATTTATGTTTAGTTCTGTGGAAACACACAGTTTCGCTGTCGACGTGAGTTTCCCACCGTCGGCAGAACCCCTGCAATGATTTCTATGCGGCACGGAACAACTACCGCATCGCTCTAATCACCCTCGGAGCTCTCACAGCCTAATTGCAAGCTGCGCCGAGCTTATATATACTTTACCTCGGAGAGAGCGTTCAAGTATTGCGAATTCTCACATGGTCGCGCGCGACGTCTTTATTACGGCGGCTCGTATTCCGCTCGTAAAACTTGTCTCCCGGAATAACCGGGGCGGCGAGATTGCCGCCTTTAATGCGCCCGGAACCCCTTTTTTTCGCTCGCGAGACACAGTTGCAATATGTACAATCTGAACGACGACCGTCGATACATCGTCGTCTGTTAGTTGAATCGATGAAGCGGGCGGATGGCATCGTAAAGAAAAATTTACATGTCGAAATTGCACCACGCCCTCGTAAAAACGCCGCGTAAATAATATGTATCTCGCGACGTAATAAGATGCAATCGACCGGATTGTTACCGGTTACAAACCGGTATGTATTTGCGATAAGTGACAATTTACCTTAATCGCAGGATAAAATTGTTGCAGCTTTAGTAGTAGTTTTTTAAATTACGCTAAAGAAATATTTACAACAATTCTATTATAATCCTTCTATCTCATTTCTGTTTTGTACTTTGAAGAAAAATTTATAAGAAGTGGAATTATTCCCAGCGAAATTACTCGCTAAGGAAATATTTATTTTAATTCTATTATAATCCCTCTATAATTTTCCTTATAATTTTAACATCGTATTATTGATTCACTTTGCAGCACCAAATCTGTTATCTTTTACACATGATTTTGGAACAGCAATTTCATCTGCGGCGGTCAATGTCCGGGCAGTAACTCTATCTGTAACGAACGAGCTTTAAGTACATGCTATTGTGTACACGAAATGTCCATCTATTACTAGGTACACAATGTCTGGCCATCATTTAAGTATTACATTTCCCGGGCATTCACGTTTGCTTGTTGTTTACGTACTACATAACTGCGTTTCTCTCGCCGTTTTACTCATCGATGACATAGCAGAATCTACGATTAATGGCAAAGCCTTTTCTGCTTGTTTCCACAGCTTCATCAAAGAGCTGCTGCGGAGAATCTGAGTATCCTCTGCTTCTGCATTCGTACGTGTCACATAATTTCAGTGCACCCCAGCCGGTGCATCCGTATATTTCTCCCGTGTAATGCTATTCTCGCATTCGCGCGCTCAGGATATTCGGCTTCATCTTTTATGGGAAAAGTGAATTTTTCTTGCGTACTTACCCGCCTCACAGATCGTTGACTCCGCTCGTCGCACGACGATGCCTAGCAAGAGATTTCGTTGACATCTTATAATTTATCTATTATTTCAAAAAATTAATAAATATAAAATATTGATGCAAAATAATCATTGATAAACAGTTTATATTAAAACTTTTCTATTTCTATAGATTGATATAATAATTATTTTTTATCTGTTTTTTCAATATATTTACACTCTTAATTAATAATTTTTTTAGACCCAAAATGATGAATATTTTCTTATTATATTTTATTACTGTATTAATTCTTTAAGATTACGTATTCAAATAATTTCTAGACAGGTTTCATCCATCCATGCACCACTGCAAACTGCTGTAAGAAAGCAATGCCAGTTTTGATACGGGTGAAACGCACACCGCTCCAGCGACATCGAATACAAATAGGTCCAACATTTCGCCGTACGTATCTCCCTGTCGCCTCTTCGCATCAGTGAAGGCCGTTTCCAAGCGCTGCCAGGAACAACCTGATTTACGAGCGCGAGGTCCGTAAAATCTTTCCGAAAGACCTGACAACCGTGGTCTGAATAACTCGCCGTGAATGTCTTCGCGCATTCGTACATCTCTCACCCACGAAGCTATTTCCACGAAACCAAATCTTTGAGTTCAAATTATCAACGCAATTTATGGAATGCCCAGAGATAAAATAATAAATCCGAAGATTTTCTTTCCCGGCTCGTACGCCGATACGCGCGATAATGTACAACCGCCTGTAAGAACGGCAAGCGAAATTAAATTAGGCACCCGACGTAAATCGCCAGGCGCGTTACTTTTGCGTCGGAAATTCGCGTAGGCAATTATAAAAGGGCGATAAATAATATGCTAATTAGTCGGCGCGCTTATACGGGCGATAAACGACGCACGCGTGCGCGATTCCTAACGTGGTTCGAACGCGATCGTGAATCACGATCGTTGGCCGCGAGCGTGTATTACAAGGAGGAACTAACGTCCGATCGAAGATTACGGGGACTAACTAACGATTCCATTTACTGATTGCTCGGCCACCACGGCTACTCCGGGCCGCTTTTATCGGCTCGCCCTTCCACGAGAGGAGGGAGAGCTTAGCGCGCGCACGTAAACGATAAGCGCTGCAAGGTTGCGCGTGCTGGCCGCAACGAATGACCGCGATCAATTAAGATCGATCGATACTTTAATAAACCGGCGCGCCAGTGCGTGAGGCTATCCCTAATATCTCGCCTAGTCTCACGCCAGCGAACTAAGTAGTTATCACTGAAGCTAAATATTTATCGCTACCGTTATTATCGCATTCATTATTAATGGCAGCGAGGCACAATTGTAGAATATTGTATGAAGCGATCGATAAAGATACGCGTTTGGGATATTCATTGGATTTTAATAATATATTAGTTTACGTGTAAGCGTGAATTTCGTGAAACTCATTTTGCAGCTTACGAATATTGGTCGGATTGGAAAATCTCTTTTAACTTCTTCTTTTTTTTTTAATTTGTTACAGGGTCTGCTATATTAAGCTCTGAAACATTAATGATCACTATGCAACTGGTGATTTAAAGTATAATTACTGTCCGCGGCAGATAACTGACGAGATTCCGTGAAGTTTTCATGCCGTAGATAAGCAAAAGTGGATCACACATAGATCGTGACGTGAGATTGTCAGCGCGGGAGGTGCACGTAAGATTAATTTTCCCATATCTCCGACATCGCCCGCTTGACTCGCAGAAATTGCAATTCCTTCTTTTTGTCCCATTATCGTGCTGTTCCGGCTATTTTCATGCATAATATACGTGCGAACGGAGAGCGCTGCATCAAGCGGTATTTGTGAATAAGAAACTTTATAACAATTCGTTTATCGGTAAATTAAAGATAATAACGTTTATATCAGTATATTACTTCTCGTTGCGAATTTATTTATTTTCAATTTGTAATTCATTTTATCTTCATTTCATCGAGTCAATCCTTTCGCCTATAAAGCGAAACCGAACGCAGCAGGGTTTTATCAGTCGAGTCTATGACTGGAGTATCTCGCATTTCACCATTCAAAACGCGTTCATTGGAGTTCTTCAGAGCGTTCACATCTAGCCACTTGGAGAGAATGCGAGTTTACGCGCCATCGGCGAGCTCCATTTCGGTGAATGCACGCGGAAATGTAATCTCGAGCGTAAACATCGCATACCCTATCTCTCCTCGCGTGACGCGAAAACTGCGAAAGCCTGCATACGTGTATACGTGTGCCCGGTCGAACGTCTCGGAAATCATTATCCGTCGTTTTATCAGGCGTGGACCATCTATGGGCGCGCGTTATCCGTGCGTGTGAGCGCAAAGTAACGTATGCGCCGCTTTTATCGGCACGGATGCCTACGTACGCTACGTGGCTGGACGTTTCTATTATCGCGACTGTGAATCGTCGTGCCTTTCCACCTTCGTCCATCCGTCCGTCCGTGCATTCTATCCTGATCATCGCGATAGCTTCTTCGCACGGACGAAAGCTGATTTTCCCGTTGAATGCACCCTCGATATCGCGTTCCGATCATCAATTTAACGAATATGCGGCTTAAATTTTTCCGCGGGGATCAGACACGATTAAAATAACCATTAAAATGATAATTAAAACAACCAGGCTATTCGATAAAAAATTAAATTTCTGATAAGAAAAAAAATCAAACCTGGCTCGTTTATGTGAAACTTTGAATATACATTGTTTGTTAAAATGAATCAACGATAAAATAATTATAAGCGACATTTAGCTTTAAAAAATATTAGTCTCTAACATTTAAAACACAGATTTTCTTGTACCGTAATATTATTATTTTTTTTCTTAACTTCTCATCAACGTAGCAAAGTTGCACTGAATGGAAAAACTTGCTTCGAACTGCATCGATTTTTTAGAGAAATAGCGTATTTTTCAAAAAAAGCTGTATTTCTTAGATATACGTTTTACAGTCATTCCTATGAGATAATCGCCTCTGAAACTAATCCAGAAAGATTCACTTCCTTTACGAGATAGCGCAATATAATATCGAAAGGGACGAAGTACTCGCGGGTTTATAGCAATTCCATTTTCGCATCGCGTATTGCGCTACATTTATCTCTTCGCGCTCAGGTCTCGATAGAAATATTGGAACCGCACTTGATTTATGACGACCATTATTATTTCGCATTTACTACTCTCTTTCTCTCTCCCTCTCTCTCTCTTTCTTTCTCCTGCGCGCTACAGATACACCGCAGAGTTATCCGCGACCGCAGGTTCCGCAAAAATTTGAGAATTTATACGGCGTTTTATTAAGGCTAATACGAAGGGCGGCACCGGGGTTCGACAATAAAGGAATATTATTAGGTACTATGCGACGCCGTAATGCGCCGATCCGGCATAATCTACGGAACGTTTCAACGGTCTTCCCGCGGGCCATCCGTTATGCGTGCCCACGCACTTACGTACGCAAAAATAACACGCACGCAGATCGTAGAAAACGGATTCGAGAGTCGTAACGAGAGCGCGATCTCTGCGCGCGCGGGTTACGACAGATTTCGCGGCGACGATCTTCCTCTTCGGATCGAATCGGATTGGATTCCAATCTCGAATCGAGCGACCTTCTCACGCCGGGGATGCTCGTTTATCCGCTCGTTAGCCTGATCCGCGGACGTCGTTTCATAAACGGTCATGTATATACATTTACGACATCCCGGATGCCTTCATTTCATTCACCCTCGAAGGTGAAAATAAGCGTTAGGATCAACGTATTCTATTTAGACATTTGCGCGTTATGTCTGTTCGTAATTAAAAAAAAACAGCGTATAAAGTATGTCTGTATATTTCAATAATTACTATAATTACGTAAAAAGTGAAAGAGAGAAAGTATGCGAGTTTCGTCATTTGAATAATAATTAGTATCATTAATAAAAATTTGATTAAATTTATGCTATGCTATCGTAATACAATATGCTAAAAAAAAAAAAAACAAGTAATTATAGTACTTTGTTGCAAAGTTATAAATTTACATTCCTCGAAGCTGAAAATCGAATCAAAGACCTTACGAACAAGTTGGCTTGTCTAGAAAGAATCGATATTCACATCTCCCCGAAGCATACTTCTTCGTTCTTACAACTAGCTCGTAAAACTCCACCCAGCGTGAAGCACACTCTCTGTACCACCTGTGGAAAATAATTCCGTCAGATACTTCTCTCTGGTATGCGAGTGCACGAAAAATTTCCACCATGAAGACGTGTGTAAGCACACAGGACATGCCGGACGCGGATTCGAGATCCCCCGTTAATCTCATCGTTACAGGCGGACACGCGATATCCGAGCATGAAAGTTTAACGCTGTAATATATTCGCGGCGGTAAGAATCCGAAGTCAAGGTCTCGCGATTTCTGTCCCATCTTGGGCGCAGAGCGACACGGCGACAAATCGCCGTGTCGCGACCGGTAATAAGAGAGTCCCGCCCGGGATTGTGATGTAAATTTCGCGTACGTTCGAAGAGAGCGAATTGGACTCGACGTGGCTAATTACAGACACGATTCGGACCCGCGACCTGCAAGATATTCCTTTTTTTGCAGCGCACGCGATTAGAATAAACGCGCGATTGATTACACGACTCGACCTTCAAACGAAAAAATTCTTTATTCAAACATGACTGCTGGACAGCTCGATTTAAATTCTCGCACTGATTGCCATTAGATCGGACATTATACAGCGCGTTCGAGTAAAAGAGACTGGATTAAATTCGATGTTAATGTTTATGTAAGTATGAAGAGGAGTGATGATTTACACAAAAGTCATAATGTATTTTTAATGAATCGTATAAATCGTGCAATAATTTAATGCAAGAATGCCGAGATACTTGTTACAGAAGAATGAATAGACAGGCGAGTAATAATGAGCGAGCTACCACGAGTTTGTCATTGATCAGCCGTTCGTGGAACTCTCGCTGAACACGTATAAAGATACCTTATCTTAATTTTTTGAGCACGATGCAAGTGACTGATCCGCGTAAAACTTTTATCTTAATCCTTTAAGACTTGGATATTTTTTACGATTAATTTAGTGGCATGCATAATCATACAGAGTTAATTTTAACAGCTAGTTCTGACGGAAAAATGCGATTTATAAATCATAGTTATCGATTATTTCTATAAAATTTTTATTAATTTGTACATTAATTGAATGATTATAAGTTAAGCAGAATCTAAAGGATCGAATCAACCAAAGTCATTCGAAAATGTTGTAAGAATAAATATATGAACGTCTGAAAAAAGTCTTCGCGATACAAGCAAAACAGAGCGACCGAATTCTTATGCGGTCAGCGGTAGAGCTTCTCGCTCGAGTATATCTGACTGCAATTTTGAAAAAATTGAGCAATAGGTGCCGTCAAGATCGGCTGCGATTGGACCATCTGTTTAGTGGGAGCCATCACGGAGTACATGATCGGTTCGGTCACGATCGGATATATTAGTGGTTCGAGCTTGGTGTTGTGATGGATTTGAGTCTTGCTTTGGCTGGAGGCGGCAGTGACGACCGGAAGTAGTACTTCTCTGGAGACGATCACTCCCTGGACGACAAGCGGACCCGTTTCCTTGGTGAGAACAGGAAGTGGTTCCCTGGCGAGAACCGGAAGCGGTTCCTTGACGACAACCGGAAGTGCATCCTTGGCGACAATCGTTTCCTCGGTGAGAATCGGAAGCGGTTCCTTGGCAAGAACCGGAAGTGCATCGTTAGCGGGAACCGGAAGAGTTTCTTTGGCGAGAACCGGAATCGTATGCACCTCAGTGATCGGTGTTTCGAGCGGCACCTGCGGAGCGTCGATCTTTATGGTGTTCTTGGGATTCGCGCCCTCCAGTCCGATACTTTTGTGAAGCTGGATCCGCTTTTCGTGGTAATCGGAGAGAGCAGCGTTGAGCGGAACCGACTGCAGCTCGACAGCGGCCGTCTGCGGTTGTAAGATCTCGACCGTTTCTACGTTCTCGTGCTTTTCCGGCACTTCGATGCGGAGATTGTTGTGCACCTGGACGCGGCTCTGATGGGAAGTCGCCAGCGGTACCTGACTTGGCAGGATCTTGTACGCGGGCTCGGACAGGACTCCGATCGTCTCGACGGGTTGAGCGGCCTTCAAGCGGACGTTATTGTGAACGTCGACGCGGCTTTGATGGGAAGTCGCCGCGCCGCTCAATCGCGGGATCAAAACCGCGTCTAGGAGTCCATAAGCGGGTGGCACGAGGATGGCTCGACCCTCGGCCTTTTTCTCCTGCGCTGGAAGCTCGTGGGAATTCTTCGGCGAGGCGTTCGCCGCGCCATCGGCTTGATCTGCCTGGGAACTCGGATTTTCTGCCTGACGACGATCTTGATTGATCGGCGCCTCGAGGCTGCGCTTTCTGCGGCTCGTCGTGAACTCTTCCGCCTTCGATATTTTCGGTACGACGGTTCTTAAGTACTTGGCAAAGTTTTGGGCTTGGGCGTTCCTGGCTAAGAGGATCTCGCTGTTCTCGAGCTGCAAATCGTTGTCGGTCGGCAGATTCGTCGCCGCGACGCGAAAACCGCCCTCGTCCGCGACGTAGAAGACGGATTGCAGGATGCCGTGCGCGTCCACGTAGCTATAGGAGCCGCGCGTGACCCCGTCGAGACCGCGGACTTCCTCCTTGGCGGATGGGCCGCCGGCGTAGCTGTACGCGTGCACCCCGGTGCGCGTATCCTGCGACTGATGGTACACCGGAAGCGGATCCGAAAGATAAGCGCGGGGCAGCAGGGTCAGCCGCGCGCCCGCCGCCACGGCGAGGATCGCGAAAACGGGAATCTACGGAAAAAAAACGAGATTCTTATCTCGGGAAGCCGTTAACGCTAATAAATAACAGAACCGGTCGATTCGACATTTTTTCCCCTTCAACCGAAGGTTGTAGAAACGGAAAAAATTTCCGCGCGTCTATTTCTGTGTCTCCTCGCGAAATTGCAAAACCATAATTCACTCGCTCTGTATCAACGTGTTTATTGTGCGCTCCCTTGCCGGTTCACCGATAAGACTCCGACATCCTTACGATCCTCCCGGGATTAAAGAACGGCATCGATGCAATTTCGCAAACTATATTCCGATACTCGATATCGAAGATCCGCGGGAAGATAAAGACAACAATAGGATATGCGATATGCATTATACACACGTTCGGTCCGCGTGCAACAGAAAAAAGGAGCCGTTCGGTCGGTCGCTTTATCGGACGTGCGCGCGAAAGGTAACAATGCGGAAGGCGAATGCGCCCAGGATGCTCATTTCGAATGCAATCGTCGCGGCGGTGGATTTATTTGCGCAAAGTGGCTGGCACGTTCTTCGGAAGGTGTGAGAATTACCGCGTCGGGGGAATATCAGGGTCCTTCTTGGAGTGAGAAAGAGAGAGGGAGAGAGAAGCGAGTAGTTTGGCTCTCTCACAAATAGCCGGCGAAAACGTTCGAGTTTTATCTGTAGCAACGCGGGGGCACATCCGCAGGCAGCGCGTGTGGGACGGGGTGAGTTTATACTTGCATGAGCCTCTTGGGAGATCCAGCCTCTCTTTACGATCCAATAAGACCTGAAGGAGTCACGACAGGACCCTGAAGGAAAGTGATAGAACGTCGGCCCTTTATGCGTCGTCGCCGCGCCAAGCAAAAAAAAAATCAACGACTCTAATCTGTATTTTCATTTTAAACCGCATCTCTACATCTTCACACGTGGCGAGACGTCTTATCGATGAATGTAATCGAGCGCACAATTATTGCAAATTTCATTTGGAATTCATTCATTCAGAAATTTAAAAAAATTACGAATCGATGGCTATTTCTCAAGGAATAAATATTATGAAAATAGTGCATTAAAAGCAACTGGCCAAATATAATAAATAATATTAAAATTTATTTATTTTATTAAATTCTATCATTATTTATTATGATAGAATTTAACAAAAGAATAAGTCTGCTGTTACAAAGAACGCGTGGCATTAAATAAACATCTCAGATTATCTTTAAATGAATAAGCAATTAAATAAAATGTTGAAAAAAATGTTAAAAAATGACATTAAAGAAAATTTTTGTTTAAGTTGATGATGAAAAATTTCAGAAATCGTGATACCGTATATAATAATTTACATGTTTGAAAAACAAAATTCGAAGAATTTTTCAAAAGCATTATAGAATAATGTGTTTGCCACATATAAAAATTTAAACCATCATAAATGTCGAATAAAGATTTGTAAAACATTTGTAACGTTGTACCTCGACAAGGTCAACTAGGAAAATTTCGTATTACAAGAAACAGAAGTGTTTTACCTAGTGTAAAAATGCCATTCAACGAAGGTTTCGTCGCTGTAAAACGCGCGCGGTTGTCGCGCTTTCAAATTGTGGATTTCGCATGCATACATTTTTCAGCGCTTTTACATCTCGACAAAACACGAGTAGCCTGACAGGCCTCGCATGCAAATCCTCTCGCAAATAAATTATAACGCTCGCTCGAACATCGCTCCCGCGGATGTGTTCGCACCCGGAATCGTCGTAATTCAACGACATTACCTATAATAAAAACCTCGGTGTACTTCGCTTACGGCATTGTAAATAGTTGTTTAGAGACGAATCTTGTTTTTTATACATAGACATACAAGAAGTACAATAGCAGCAATAACTTTTGATTGATTATTTATTAAATTCACTAAAAATATATTGCAAAGTACTTTTTAATGAAAAAAAAATGTAAGAGTTTTAATTTAAGTTAATTTTAAAATAGAATTTAATTTATCGAGCTTCCTCTTTTTAGACAATCTATAACTCACGACACAATTCGAGATATAATTTTATTTATAATTTTATGTGCCACGCGTGTTACGCATAATATATATCGACGGTATGGATTTCAATTCTTCAAATAATTTCTGTGTAAAATCATAAATAAATTCTTGAATTCCATCGCGAATAATAGACCATCTAAAGGCTTTACGAAATAATTATTTTATATTGTAGTATGTGAAATACCGAGATTTTTATTATAATTGATTTTGCATCTATCGTTTATTTTTGTTTTAGGAGCTGAACAAAGCTGAACACAGCTCGAGAGAATTGTGAAAATGTAAAAAAAACTTTACGGACAGAAAAAAGGGCGGGTAGATTGCGCTTACCAGTGCCTGCATCGTGCTCGATGTGCTTTTGCCGACCTCCTTGCTGGCTGAAGGACTGTCCGGGCTGTGCACCTTGCTCGCGATCTGGTTTTGACTTATATACGCGGCGCGGGCCGCGCGGGATATTTTCGAACCAGGAACCTGAGGAATCTTCGAAGGACAAGGCGTTCACCACTGATGCGACGGGATATGTCGATCCCGGATCACACTGGTCGATCCTGAGATCCCCGCGAGCTCTTCCTCGCCCACCATGCCACCGGCATGGCAATTTCGCTTGGACGCATCGTAAAGGCGAGAAAAGTCGCCGTACCGGATTCAATTCTTGCTTTTCTTCGAAAAACGAGTAGTGTAAGAATTTTGCTTTCAGACACTCAAAATTTAATTCTAAAAAATCATAATAATAAACTAATAAATTTAATAAGTTTATTGTTAGAAAAATTATATAAGTTTAATTCTTATTTTTATCATATTTTTATATATATTATCTTTCACATTTTTCTATTTATTTTTTTTTTAGAAGTGGCGCTCACATTCGGTTAATAATCGACCGATATTGCTAATGAGAAGAAGCGAATGTTCAATTATTTGCAACGAGAGATAAACCGTAATTATCCTTATGACGTACGGCACGAAAAGTTTTGTACAACAATCAGAGCGCTGAAGTTGAATGAAGTGAGAGCTCGGGGGAAATGAAACTGGTTCGATTTACTCGAGGTCGTTCAACGATCCCAATCGCATAGATATGGAATCTCTTCAGTCGTAACGTGAGATTTTCTTGCAACAAGGGCCACATTCGACCTCGGATCGCTTAATTGACGACACTGTGACGCATTTTAATGAGGTTCTATGCGAGACCCTTGTTCCGGTTACGGTAACTTTAGTCCATAATCATTTAAACAACGTAAAATTGGTTCGAGAATTCTCAGTGTCTTTAAAATATTTGTACTGTAAAAAATTCGCTAAATTTACGCAGATAAGATAAATAACAGAAATATACTAAATAATATAAAATTTATAAAGTCATTTTACAATATTTATTTATATTTCCATTATTTATTATGTAATTTCTTATTTGTTTAAATTTTTTTTATATCTTTATTAGAGTATTTTTACATTTTAATTTTTGAAAATTTAAAAAATTATATTTTAATTTTGAGAAGTCTATTTTGTAAACGAGAAAATTCATGTTTATTATTAACCAAATGCTACCATTATAATTGCTACGATGGCTGGACGGCGTCAAAAGGCGTCAAGGCTATCAGGATCCGCTCTTGGTAACACAGTCTCATTTTTATGTTTATTAATATGTTCGTGTTATAAATACATATTTGTTTTGTACATGATGTGAAGCTTGTTCTTTGGTTCGTGTGTGTTTAATAAAGCGCATATCGAACTGAAAACTCATGCATATCACAAGTTTGTAAACAGGATCAAGTAACATGCCTTTAATTTCCTTGGCAGTGCTTGAGGGGAGGAGACTCGAGCCTGATTTGTTACTCCTCTTATTGCTTCCTCTAATGAGAACCGTCGTACATTTAAGAAACTCTTTATATGAATAAAAAAGTATGCCTCTCTCTCTCATATTTTTTCATAATTATTATTAATTATAATAAGCTTATATGCAATCGCAATATTTAACTATTTAACAATTAAATCAATCAAATATTAACAGTAAAATCAAAATTGATTAGCGATTCAAGAAATATCTTTAGACACTTAATACATGAAAATACTTAACAATTGATTTTTAAATCACTAGGTTCTCAAATATTGTGAAATTAATATGGCTAAGAGTTGAAAAATAATCCATTCGTATATGTAAATTTTTCTTACAAAGATAAAGATCAATTTATATAAATAGCAGGAAAGCGGAGAGAAATCAATATAGAAAACTTGGAATTCCCATCTTGATACTCTTTTTAAAAAATGCGATAAACCACTTCGTTTTTACCTGCACAGAACCACAACTCCTGCGATTAGAAGTAAAATCGTGCCTGAAGATCGTCGGCGATTGCCGACATTCTTCAATTGCAAGTAATTCGAGTGGCCTTGATCAGGGCCGCGACACGCTCATGTTCAGCGAAATTGTTTGCCTGCCGCGGCTTTTTTACTCCTTTCCCCGCAGACCGCAGACGTCCAGGAATCCTTCTCCTGGTACAATAAAATCACATGACCCTCGTCCTTGGCAATACCGGCGATTACGATGACCCGGACCCGCGGACGGTGTATGGTGCCTGCGCGCGAGTATCGTAATGACATAAAGGGTTGATGTGAAGGATCAACCCGTCTACTGCACTTTGTGTAAAACCGAGACGGCAAGCATTTGCATATCTTGTTTCTTTGAAAGTTGGAAACGGGGTTTTCAATGCACGCGATCGATAAATTGCATGTAATGCGCAATATCAGTGTGAATTACAATGTTAAACTAGCGATTATCAGTTAAATTGTTATACATATTTGCATTAATCATACATCAATGTTATTTATTAATAACTGCAAATAGTCGATTCTATAAAAGACTTTAATTAATCATTGGATTATTAGATATTAATGCGTGTCATTTTTGTGCGATCTCGATAATTTCATTGAAAATTGGAAAATGCATTTCTCACAAAAATATTAATTTTTAGTAAAAACATTCTATGTTATCAGCATTTCAGTTATTAAAAAGAGAATCATAAAAGAGAAAAAAATATTTTAATTTAATATTTTAATTTTACATAAAAAGGGCAAAAGTCGTTTCTAGAATTTCAAGAACACACGATGATAATCTTAGAATTGACAAAAAAAAAAAAAAAAAAAAAAAACGTAATATACAATGATGTTTTTTGATTCCACGTTAATTCTGTTTTCATATCTGATTTTTCCTCAATGCCGAGATTACTCTTTCACGAGATTTATCCCTCGTAATCAGATATTCGGTGCTGAGCTTCGAGAAGATTTCTCATTCTTCGTATTTTCTCGTTTCGTATCGATGAAAAGTCGGAATATAAAAGAGCGTGGGCGGGCATCCGTGGAATATATCACGTTCAATCTCACTACGGACTGGTACTCAGGTGTTTTTTGTTATGCCGCATTAGCGCAAACGCGATATAAATAGGAACACGATAAGCAGGAAATATAACTCCCACAATAACGATGGTCAGTTACCTCCGCATTATTCTGAATTTTAAACAGCATGCACGGAAATGACCCTTAATTCACGATCGTGCAGCATGCGCATCCTAAACACGCGATATAATATACCGTGATATTCTAGATTCATAGAAAAATTATAATCTCACCGAGATTCTTTAAGGAGCGATCGAATTTGTCGAAGAATAGTCCCGCTACCGCAACCCGGACGTGAGCATCGGCGTGCGGAACTCTCACGCGACGGGACGCATCTGTTTAGCAATATCTAAACGTTCACGCTTCCTCATTCTTCCCCACGTCGGACACCGTTTCGCGGCGATTAACCCGAGGACACGCCTTTCCAGCGAGATAACGGCGTGCCGTGACCTTTCAGGTGGTTCTCGCTCGCTTCCGGTCGTCGCTCGCACCGGCTGGTGTGGGCGCGATCTTCGGGATATCTCGTTCCGCGCTCGCGGAAACGCGATGGTGATTCCGCGCTTGCCGAGAGAGACCCGTCGATTCGTTCCTCCGACCATTAGGTGCTACCAGCAGCGACGGCAGCTGTTGCTGCCGCACGTGGGAGAGAAACATCGGGGCGTGTTGGCGCTCGTAGGCGAGGATAGCCGCGAAAGCGTGGATAATCAGGGAATAGGCTCCCGCGTGTCGACGTGAGCGTTGAAGGCCGGGAACGCGGCGAGGAGGAGATAAAAAAAAAAGCGACGAGAGGATAAAGGGAGAGGGCGAAGGGGACGGCTACGAGAGACGATAATGGTCGGGACCGTGAACACGGTCGGCAGGAACACTCGATTACTCGCGCTCGCTCGCGCGCTGCACTCCTCCGCGCACCGTAGGTCAAGGCACCTCTTATTTCCTTAACCCTTCGCGACTCTGTGTGACTTCAAAGTAACGCACCGGCCAGCGGCTCTTCCTTTTCTTATCTCCCGGCTTCTTTTTTCTTCTTTCTATTGCGATATGTAGAGGATTTATGATCTCGTGGTTCTGAAATTATGATAATGACATTGTGCTACGTGATGTATTCGCCGATATTCGCCGGCTCGAAATGTCGAGTCAGCAGAGCAAAAATAAATTGCGTGATTATTTTTCTTCGTTCGGATGTGAAGTTTCGTAGGAGCGGTATCGAAAATGGAAACGATTATCTTCTTCATCTTCTTTAATTTCACTTTTTTTTACAAACTATATGTGCTGTATAAAGCACCTCTTCATAATAAAATATAAAATTCAAATTTCTTTCATTTGCGCGAAAGTTTTATGATCTATCTCTATCTTTGAAATTTAAATTGCGATATTCCTCAAGTTAATCGTCAAGCTGTCACCGCCGCTTCGCTCTTTCGCGAATCCTACGCGTGTCGCCACGGGACTGGACGGAACGATCACTTAGAATTCCAACAAGATGCACGCGTCCGCAAACAGTAAAATCTTGCCCGCGAAAAAATCGCCGCCGGTAGAAGCCTCGTGCACTAAAGACCACACCCTCGCCGCATCGTATCCCTCGCAGTTAGATCCGGTCACATATTTGCGGAGGTCGCTTCGCGTCGTAAACAACATAAACATAATGCAGTCAAGACGATGGACCACACCCGGCGTACATATGCATTCACACACGTGCACTTACACACAGCGATACGTGTACGATTTATACTTCTATACATTTGCATATCACGGCAAGGACTCGGCACGACTGTCCGCACGTGACATCACTCTTAGCGGCGGCAGAAAAAAGCTGGATAAGCGATAAATGAACGCATGATGCTTCCTCGCTTGATAAATCGCGTAAGTCGCTAAGTGGACTTTCATCGTGTAGATTTAAATTAAAACGAGTGTACAGCCAAAGGGCGTGTATATTGGAGGCTGATAATGTGACTGATGAACTGGCTAATCAATTGTAAAGTGTGCAATTTCTTATAAATAAATAACAATCGCTACATACATTGAAGGCACAAATGCTGTACACTCTCAAAGCAAAGAGACATGATACAAATTTTAGAAATTTATAAATATACGCTAATATGTATATAATAAGATGTATATTACAAGAATTTATAATCACTATGTATCAATATTAGAAATCCATCATGCCTGCTTACTTTTTACTTCAAAAATTTCTATTTAAGTAAAAATACCTCGATAATAATTTCAGTTATATATCCTCAGGCTCGATTTGTATAGATAAAACTCGTCCTTTTCTTACAACTAGGAAATTTATATTTCTTGAATTATTTCCTGATTCTTCTATAATTTTATAAATATCACTCGTACTCTGCATCGGCTTGCCATTGGCGTGTGTTATTACGTCTCCAGGTTGCAATCCGGCACTGTAATATTATATGCAATATTAATTATAACAAAGTGATTAACAATTAGATTTTTTTATAATAAACACATTTGTTGCAACTTTTTCAATATTAAATATCTTTGTAATTAAATATCAAGTTTTGTTATCTATTTTGCCATCTTTGTTATTTATTTGTATTTCTGATATTTAATTCATAAAGTCCCATAATTACAATAACTTATAATTCACATGTACATTACATTATTTAAAAAAAAGTAATCTGTGCAAATTTTCATGCGATTAAAATTGAATATGATAATAGTATGTTTCAATATCACTTACTTATAAGCTGGAGACCCAAGCAGCACTTTCCAAATAGCAACTCCGTGCTTCACTTGCCTGTATTCATTATATTGTTGCATATCAAGCAAAATATCTGGCAACAGGCTTTGCATCGTAACGCCTATGTACTTTTTCTTGGGTATGTCCTGAGGATATGTGGAAGCTGCAAAAATAACGTACAATCAATATTTTTCGTTAAATTGCAATAACAAAATTATAGTAGTTTATTTTACTTTTTCCCTTCTTATGTGATTCGATTTTTTTCAAGAATTCCTTTGCGTAGTCTATAGGAACAGCAAATGAAATACCGGAAGCCATTTTTATTGCATTTATACCTATCGTTTCCCCATTCAGATTCACCAGGGGTCCACCTGAATTTCCATACTAAAAAAAAATGCGATTCATCAATGAGATATAACCTAATGTTTAAACTTGATATTTACATAAAAACTAGTTGTTACTGACGGTAATTGCTGCATCCGTTTGAATGTACCCTATTTGCGATCGAAGACCAAGTTTTTCACTCGACCTATTTACACTGCTTATAACTCCACTTGTAATAGTGTTGTTAAGAGCCAGCGGGGAACCAATAGCTACTACAAACTCTCCTGGTCTGATATTGGACGAGGTGCCTAGCTTCATCACAGGCAGATTAGTCTGTGCAATTGAAAATATAAATTAGTAACTGTAATAGATGTCTCAAAAATAAAATAAATAAGATTCATGTATAAATTAACAATGTTACCTTATTTATTCTTATTGTAGCAAGATCACTTTGCAAATCAACATCTTCTATTACTCCTTCATATGTACTGCCATCATAAAGCTGCACCTATATGGGAAAAATCACAAATTTGAGGTCAGAAAAGTTTGAGGTAAGAAAACAATTTTAGAGGCAACAAATAAAGTATAACATAAATTTATGAAATAATAATTTCAAAAAGTAAAAGTAGATTTACATATAGTATAGTTATAGATATAGTTAAATATAAATATGAAGTATTCACACAACAAAATGTAATTTGTTAAAAATCCAAAATCTTTCATATTACTTGTAACATATTTACAACATGCTTGGAAAGGACAATAGGACTCTCGGGGGACTCACATTTACCTTAACTGTAGCATTAGGCCTATTTATTACAACATGAGCATTTGTCAGTATTAATCCATCTTGACTAACAATAAATCCTGATCCATTACTTTTAGTACCTAATTTCCCTGTGAAAGGATCTATCCTATTTCACAATTAGCAATAATTAGTATACATTTCAATAATTGTAAGAGAATAATATTGCATCTGCTTTTCTAGTAGAAGGATTTAGATAAGAGATAAATAGATTTTCTCAACATCAATCTCTCACACAGTAAAGAATATTTTTATGTGTTATAGCAAATATAAACTATGAAGCTTATATGTAATCGGTATTTGTTTGTATTTACCTATTGTCCTTGATCTCAATGTATACTACACTTGGTGCACATACTTCCACCACATCTGCTATAAAGTTAAATTTATTCCTATTCTCATCAGACGAAGACAATGAAATAGTATGAACCACAGGAAGATTAGGGACGCCAAGATTTCCGATTCTCTGCCGTATGTCATCTCTCCGGTTATACAAAAGGTAACCGAAACCCACTCCAGCGATGAGAGCAGTACAGGTTAGAAATCCTTTTCCATTGATACTGTGCACCCTTCGTGCCTGCCTTTGCGAGTGAAATGCTCGAACTTTCGCATATCGTTCAGCGAGCACAATCGTAGTAAATCGAGATACATTCAAACTCTTCTTTGACAGAAAAACCAACGGCAATCGTGACGAAGCAAATGCCATGTTTCAGATCATACGGCAAACTGAAATAGACTGTTGAAAATCACAGGTATCACTAGAATCCAAACGTGTGTGATCGCATTGAATGCCCATTTTAACGCGATTTTCAAGGAAGACGGTTAATTTACAATAAGCCGCATCATGTCAGTTGTGTAATAATTCTTGATAATTTTGAATACTCGCGCTCGATTGTTCGAGCGGTGACTTTCGGCAAATTTAGATCTCTGTGCATTGATTGGCTGAAAATTTGAACGTCGAGTTGGTGCACCAGACAAAATAGTTGCATACGCGATAAAAAATAGATCATGATCTTTAAATTTCGGCTTTTTAACAAAATATTTAATTAACTACCAACTTATTTCTATAGCTTTAGATTTTCAACTAGCTGTCATGATGTGCAAATATTTAGATATTATTTGTTTAAAGCCGAAAATACCCAGCCGGAAGTGTAAGACACTAAATTGACTTTTATTGTACTTCGCATATACGCTTGCAGCGCTAGGTCTTTCTTTTTGTACTCGGGGAACCGACTTGAAAGGACGGAAAAATCCTGCGCTCCACAATATACGAACATATAGGCGGCAAAAAGAGGTAATCGGACCGAATTGATATAATTATTAGCAATAATTTTACTTTCCGAATCAATTAAGAGAATATTTTACAGTTTTATGATATATTAACCGCAATTTCAAAGATCGACGATCGAATGATTTTTTCGATTTAGACAATTAGCCATTAGACGGTTTAATACCGTCCATTTTTTTATCACTTGTACTTTTATGATCGAGTTTACTGAAATTTTAACAGAATTTGATGATATTAACGATTTGATTAAGTAATAATCTGATATTGCACAAATAAAAGAGAGAAAATTAGCATAATTATATATTAGAACTTGGATTTGTTTCTCTAATCGTAATAGCTGATTTTTGGAAACAACAATTCTTGAAGTTTTATTATTAATTGCTTGTTATTGATTCTTAAATGTTAAAAATTTAACGATGTTTATTGCTATGTCTAATGCTTATTTTAATCAAATTATTTTAAAAAATTAATTACAAATATATTATAATAAAAAAATTTAATATATTGATATATAATTATATTATATTAAATATAGCAGGATCTAATTCAAAAGAGTAAGCTTAATAATAAGCGTTTTTTATTATTTTTGCATTTGTGTCATTGTTATATGGCATATAGTTGTATTTTTTATAAGTTGATACATCAAAGTGATACAATAACGATGAAATTAATTACACTATTGAAGTATTTCACTAGAAACTTCATTGCCTGGAATGATCATATTCAGATCAGTATCGATTTTGCGGTTGTTGTCAACGATATTAGAAATTCTGCATGATGTATCCATATGGCAGGATTCTAAACAGAACAATTTTTACATGAATATTTCACAATTTTTCAGCAATGCAAATGGTAATTGTTTATTTCTAATTAAGCATTTATTTTAATTATTATTACATTTAACAGTTATACTACTTCAATATTTCCATTGCAGAAATAAAATTTCTCATAAAAGTATTTATATTTATAATCAAATTCTATTTGTGAACTTTGTTTTGATTAAATTTCATCAATTATAAATCTTGCTTGGAAAGTGAAACTTCTTCAAAATTAAATTTTTATGCTCACCTTGCGAGCAGCAAATGCCATTTGTGGCGCATCTTGCTGTTTTTCCACGACACATTGCATATCCAGCAATGCAAGGCCTGGTGTATAAGCTTTCCTTTCTGCACCGGTATGTTTCCGGTGTCCCTATAAAACAGCCGATACTGGGGCCACAGCAGATATGTGGTCCAAAGCATTGACCTAGATGATTAGGACCACATGAGGGACACTGGAAAAATTATTGCAATAATTTGATTATAAATATATATTGATATATAAATCGTGAAAATATCATTAGTATATTGCAAATATAACAAAATTTTATTATACGTTGAGGATAAATTCTTATCACAAATTCTCTCTAAAAAAATATTAACATATTAAATTTTATTAGCACACCAAACTAAAAAATTCATTTTCGATATAAATAAAGAAATATAATATATAAAATATATAAATATTAATTTATTATTTATTTTATAAAGTAAATAAATATGTAAGGATTTATTAAAGATGGGATTTATTAATAGATTCTTTAGAATTAAAACCAAAGATTTTTAAGAAAATGAATAATATGATTTCAAATATAACTCACTTCTCGAGCAATAGTTTCTAAAGGTGCAATGTCGCCTCTCTTTCCACCACGAGGACAATTAGTAATCAAACAAGCATAACTGAGCAAAATTAGATTTGCGAACACAATGAGCTCTTTTAACATACTGAATGAATTTTGACGATGTCTTGTGAGATGATGTATCAACGGTCAGAAAGAGACTGCTGTATCTCGAGCAGTTGCGTCAGTACTTATATCATCGAATTTTCGTACTTAAAATTCTCGTTGTATACTCGAGGCTACTCTGCATTTCACAATACAACACTCTAAGGATTATGGAAATATCCATATGGAAATTTCCATATGAGGATAAATATAAAAATAAGATTCTTTTCATTCATCGTTATGGAAGCTAGTTTTAGCTCTTTTTATTGAATATGATATAAGTGAAAAATAGAAAAAAGAAAAATTTATTTTGCTGATAAAATTCTTTATATGTAAAGTTTTCTTTTATTTTTTTTATTGCTATTTTTTATCTTTTCTAATTTTGAGACTTTCTTTT